TTGCGCATGGAACTCCACGGCACAGTTCTTGACGCATGCTTCCAGAAGCTGCGGTAAATCAGGGGCGGTCACAACTCCAAGCTTGAATAGGGAGGTATCAAATGTCGACACACCCTCACCGTCAATGATAGTAGCTGAACTTTTGTATTTGGCTTGGCAATACAGCGCTTAATCGCCTTCAGAGCACGACCACTATTTTGATGCACATCGCCATTGATGAAATCGACGACACTGAGGTTCAAGTTCCAGTCCGGTGCGATAAGTTCGCCGCTTGTTGCAGCTTCTACAAGTTCTACGACATGTTTCTCATTTGGGTCTTGAGGGGCTGTAGAACCTTTGTATTCAGCGAGTTTATCAGCGATTTTCTCTTTCAGTCCCGCAAATAATGACGACATCTTTATTATGGACGCTGCAAACTACAATTTCAAGTAAGGATTTCATTGAAGTAGGTAGGAATGTAAGTAGGAGCTGGAACACTATGTGTACTGCGTTGGAGAGGAGATCATCGTTGAAAGCATGCAACAGTTCTCAGACTCCTCTTGGCTGTATGGGAGCTAACGCCTATGACAACGCGGCTATTTTGAGAATCGTATTTGGCCCCATTATGATAATTTACCTACGCCGTGGCCGCTTGGCACCGGCTTGGCGCGTTCCAAGAAGCAGAGCAGCCGCACCGTTGGCTTGAGAGGGTTCGACCGCTGAATTGCAATTTCTCCGTTCGCGGAACTAGCACGTTTGGTTGGGGCTGCATTGCAGGGTGTTGCGGGGAACTCGAGACTGCCTTTTGCTGCCTTCACTTTGTCGTCACGCACGAGTCCTCTGAACTGAATGGTACGCAGTCGGCAGCCCCATTCATTTCCATCAAATTAATACAGACAGTGAAACATCCATCTACGAGCAGCTGCAGGCGGCCTGATGCAGCCTCAACCCTTGCAGTTGACTGCGGCCTGGTGCGGTCTTCATCCTTGCAAGCAGCAACGACCCGTTTTTCCGATGATCGTTGTATCTACAAAGGACACTGCACCGGATGAATCGTTGACATCTATTTAGGCAAATGAACGCGGATTGCGCGCGTGTGTCTATGTGTGTGCGTGTGTGTGTATTTGTTCCGATCCGGGCCTGACGCTGGCCAGGGGCACCTAACCGTACAAACAGTCTCCCCCTTGCGGGGGCAGAAGGGCGAGTAAACACAAGCGCAGGACCACTGAGGTGCTGCGCACCCGGGGCTGAAAGCCCCGTTCCCCAGTCAACACAAGGCAAGACACAGAAACCCGCCTGCCTAAACTAGACACCTGATCAGGGGACTTCCCAGGTCAGGAAAGGCCGGACCCCGAAGGAACTTCACCGCAGCCAGCAGCAAGGCGAGAGCACACGGCAGGGCAAGGGAGGAGGGCTGTGCAGCACTCCCACCCACGAAGCAGGTCTAAAGCAGCAGTCCCGCTCAGGGGGTCATGACCAGTTCACTGCCCAGACCTGCGCACCCCGGCAGGGAAAGCACGCCAAAGGGCTCCACCACGCGCCAAACTACCTGCAGGTCCTGCACCAGCAAAGACGCCTCAAGGATTAGCTGCCTGAAAGTTACCCTGCGCCCCAAAACACCATGAGCCCCCAGCCACGTAACCTCTCCCGCCTGCCACTGGCCAAGGCACCTGGCCAGGGGATGAGGCAAGGAGCTTTGCTGCGAGCTCTGCTGCCTTGTGCCCCCCCTTGGCCCTCGGGGCTGTCGCTGGCTTGCGGAGTGTGTGTGTCTGTGTGTGTCTGTGTGTCTGTGTGTGTGTCTGTGTGTCTGTCTGTCTGTGTGTCTGTCTGTGTGTCTGTCTGTGTGTCTGTCTGTGTGTCTGTCTGTGTGTCTGTCTGTCTGTCTGTCTGTGTGTTTGTCTGTGTGTCTCTCTGTGTGTCTGTCTGTGTGTCTGTCTGTGTGTGTGTCTCTCTATGTTACACCTCCTGGAGTTTCGTCTTACTCCCCAAAAGGTGTAGCCTGGGGGCCCATACGAGCCCTGAGGGGACCCTCAAGGGCCAGGAGGCCGAAGGCTGTGCGAAAAAGGCAGAATCATGAAACGCACAAGAAACAGTATTACCCTAACGTACGGTTCGCCAACTTCAGCTGGTCATCTGCAACTGCCACATCCCTTATAACCTGATCCACCCGACAGAAAGCCTGCATGGGATACACGCCGGCAGCCCATGAAGAACATGGCTTTCGTCGTCCACGTCATGAAGCTCGCAAACTTGCAAGCCCTTCGCGCGCGATCCCTAGTAAGTTATATTTGCTTCTATCGGCCAATAGCACAGACGAAAACGCATCAGCAATCGATGTATGCTTTGGCAGCTTGCATGTGTACAACCATGCACCACGTACCCCCTGACGAAACGCGATGCTCTGGCTTCACGGAACACTGAAGACCAAACAAAACGTGCGACATTGAATCATGCAACGATGAGGAGACTTTGTAAAGCTTTTGATCCCTGCCATGTCGGAGGACATGGAAGTTCCATGGCACAGGCACTCTCCCCCGAGGATTCGACACCTCGAAGGATACCGCAACCTGGCAAGCCAGCTGCCGCGCGAACCTAAACAACAAATTCGAACACAGTTAAAGCTGAAACTCAAGGCCTTACAGATCGCATAACGCACTGCCATACGTTAACGGCCTCCGAACGATTGCCAGCGACGTGAAATGGCGGGCAGAGTGCTTGTTGAGGGACATTGTTGAGTGAACTTACAGGTTCATCCGTACTGCATTAGCCATAATGATTTGGTTGTTAAGACATGCACTGGGAGTGAATTGGGCGCGATTGGCGTTGCGGAAAAGGTGGACGTCTGCGTTATTACTCAGCAGACAGTTTTGCCGTGGAATGAATTATTATACTAGCAAAATGAAAGCAAAAGAAGGTTATATTTTCTTCAGGAATAACCGGCCGCTTAAAAAAATCACGCATAATTATTGTTAAATCAATTGCAGCCTGCTTATCTAATAAACCTACTACTAAGTATTGATTTGAATGTTTGTTTGGATAATATACTAAAACCATGATTTTTGCTGTCTTTTTGTCGACCACAGGCATGCAGGGATGCGGGAACGAAGGCGGCGGGCAATCCTGGGCAATGAAGTACCCACCCCTGGGGCGCTTTCGCCCAGCCAACGAGCTTAAGAGATTGAGCACAAATGACACGCAAGAGTTTCAGGCCACGCAGCCACTGGCTAGCTCTATCCTGTCATGAACACACAAATACACATGTACGACAGGGACTACGAAGGACTCCCCAGAACAAGCATACTCTGAAAGCCACAGGAGTTGCCAATTGATGTTCGGTATGCTCTGGGCGTGTCATGGTGACACCAAGCGATGTGACGCATGTTTCTTGGAGGCCTTTGCTGCCAAAGCAGAGATTTATGCTCAGTCCAGATCAGTGCCAGGTTGTGGATTGCATATGCATGCAGGCCCCAGCCGGCTAGAAGGCCTCCAATTAATTGTGCGCGCAACTGCACTTTGCCTCCCAGACGGGACGCAAGGTGACGCGCTTCGCTGCAGGGCCGCCAAAGACCCGCGAAGACACGGTTGTTAGCGAAAGCCAGGTTGCGAGCCGTACGAAGACATAGCCCTGCACCTCCAAACGCAGCGGCGGCGATTGGACACAAGCACAATTGTACATTGAAACCCGAGTCCTCGAATAAATGCGACTCGCTCGAGTGCCTTCAAAAGCCGGGGCCCAACGAAACGAACTCCCACCCGCAACCATCAGGAGCGATCAGAAAAAGCAATAAGCGGTGGTGAAAATACCTCTCGTGCAATTTAACAAAGCAACTTCCTTCATAGGGTCCAACGTGCGACGTTCAGGATGCAGTCAGAGCCGGGACTTTCCGTAGCCGGCTTGTTACCATGAATGAGCTTAGGAAAGGCAAATGAAGGCTGTAGGAAATCAACAACTATTAATTAGAGTTAATAACAGTCCTGTAACTAAATTTCGCGCCCGATACTGCTGCGCTCGCGTCGGCTGATAGTAACAGAAAGCCGCACATAGTGTAACACCCCAGCCGTTCCTCTAAACGCCCAAGTTCTATTGATAGGATGTTAGGATGCCCACCAAGACAAGGGAGTCAAAAATAGGCTCCGACAATGAAAGAAGGCAGGTATGACTAAACAGATATAACCAAACAGTTTTCCCTGCCGTATTGCCCTTCGCGCGCAGCCCATTTGACCTCGCAGTCGTAAGGGCCCTTGAGTGCCCCCTACGATGCGGATACAAAATATGTCAACCACAGGACAGCTGTACTCACCGCCAGCACACGCGATAAAGTAATAAACGAACGAAGGACGGCCATGTCTGTCAGCAGCTCGCAGGTAATGCATAGCCAGGGCAACTCTGCACGCCAGAACATCTTTGCCTCATAAACTAAAAACCACAACTCGAAAGACTTTTAACATTCTCCACCCATCTCCTGCCGCACGGCTTACGCACTAAGGGATTAACGCTTCAAATGCTCCGAAACCGCCAAAGCACCGAGTCCATCTCCCCAGTTAAATCCGCACGATCTCACTCTGCATAGGAAGAAGGTCGTAGAAGAAACCGTTAGTCAAGAGCCTCCGAGGGTCACCCAAATATGCAGGAGCGGTGGCGGGCCAAATGCGACCCACTCCGGGTCGCGCTCCCCGACAGATGAAATCGGATCGCGAATCAATACACACCTCACTCGGACTGCTGTTGCTGCACGAGCGACGCATTCCCTCGCACCAAACGCTTGGAGTCGCTTGGAATTTGCATTCACGACAGACAGAATGCTTAAACGCCGCTGCTGCAGCGGCTGCGGTTTTTGTCGCTTGTATTGCTGCCGATCCTAGCACCTCGCGGACGCGTCACCAGCCCACGATAATGAGAATAACCTTGGGAATTGAAAAACATGCTTTGGAGGTGGAGATGGCCGGCAGACACACACACCTGTTGGTTTAGCTACCCCGCATGCAACGATCTGCGGCCGCTCCAACCGCCTCTACTTGGGCTAGGGCTTTGCCGCCGGGGGACCGGCGCCGCCGGCGGCTGCCTTGGGGGTGGTGGCGGTTGTCGTTTCGTGGGCGATCGACTCGGTTGCGATGCCGGCGGCGATGGCGATGGCGGCAGCGACGGCGATGGGGATGAGGACGGTAACGGCGAAGGGGATGCCGACGGCGACGGCGATGGGGATGGGGCCGGCGACGGCGACGGCGATGGGGATGGGGACGGCGACGGCGATGGGGACGGGGACGGCAACGGCGATGGGGACGGGGACAATTGCGGTGCCGGTGGTGGTGGTGGTGGCCGTTGCAGGGACGGCGGCCGCTGTGGCGGTGGCGCCTTTCGCTGCGACGTCTGAGGTGCCGGGCTCTGCACCTTGTTCTGTATAATCTGCATTACCAGCACCGCCAACAGCACCACCGGGGGTAGTGCGACGGGGCCACGTCAGGATGCGTCTTCAAAAAGCTTTTTTACACTAACAAAGAACTGCATTACCAGCAGCAGTTCTCCGTATTTAATATCGACCTCAAAAATCTGCATTACGCCAGTCGTAGGCCGTACGTTTCTACAGCGAGGCCCTATCTTAAACGCGCACTGCACAAACCGAGAGAAAATAAGATTTAGGGGGAAAGTCATGTAGGTAGGTTGAGGAGCATCCCCTATCTGCACGTGAGCCTTTGCCCGGGATGGATGGGCCACCACCTCAGCATTGCGGCAACACCCTCCCCTTGAAAGACAAATCTCGCATGCTGCCTGTTTGGGGCTGCGGCGGTGGGTCCTCAGCCACCAACATGGCTCCACAGCCGTGAACCCAATCAGGGCCCAGGCACACACACCCGTCCACACGCCTGCCAGGTTTTCCCTACAGTGCGAGCTATAGAATATGAAGGGTATGCTCCTCAGCCTG